GCATCGAATATATTCGATACATTGAGTATGTTCGATACATTGAGTATGTTCAATACATTGAGTATATTTGATACATCGAGTGTATTCGGTACATCGAGTATGTTCGATACATCGAGTATGTTCGATACATCGAGTGTATTCGATGCATCGAGTGTATTGAACGCGTCGATTATATTCTGTGCATCGAGTTTATTCGATACGTCGAGTATATTTGGCACGACGAGTATATTCGATACATCGCCCAGCCCTAGTTCAAATGTAAAGAACAAAATCACTTGCATTGTGCATGAGTAAACATTTGCTACAAAACTATAGATCCACATGCTTCCAGACTGAGGCCGACTGAAAACAAGCCCTCGTTGGTGCACGGATCGGACTGTCCGGTTCAGGAAGAGTTAAAAACCAAACGCACACTGGTGTCATGCACGAGTAAAAACAACAAGACTGATAAACAAAATAAAACTCTATGTCCGATACGAAGGTTTGACTAAAAAGCCTTTCCATCTTCTGGACCTGGAGGGTCCAGAGTCTTCCCAAAACTCCAGACTGATTTGCAGTAGTCCCTCCGTTAAGCACTTTGATAACAGTCTATCTGTTTTATATTGTGCTCTATAAATAAATATGACTTGACTTGACTTGACTTATCAGGGGGGTTATGTTCCAGACACCCCCGCGATAAGTGAAAATCTGGGAAGTAGAGGTTATATTTATTTTAGTATTTATTTATATTTTAAGGCTTTATAAACCCTTCCCACACTCTTGCAATGTTCTAAACTCTTAATCCTACGTAATTTTAACAACATACGTATAAGTACTGCACAGTACTGCAACATTTTATATGAGTACTCACCAGTTGCAACTTTAAGGATGAGTTCAGCTTCAGGATTGTTTGAGACATTCCTGACAGTACTTCGGTGTCTCCGCTGGTGTTTGCTGCAGGAAGCACTGCTGTCTTCTGGGTAATGTAGTTCTTTTGACTTGCGTTACAGTATAGACTTATTGAAAGAAAACTACAAAATGGCGGTGCCTGTCTAAGTTTTATTTTTTCCTGTACCGTCCCGATCATGTGAGTAATATTAAAGTTGTCGATCGTGTGTAGTGCACAGTCTTACGTTGAAAACCCGCGAAAGAGTGAATCCGCAAAAGTCGAACCGCAAAGTATCGATGGACTACTGTAAAAGTTTAAAAATCTGTTGTTGTTTTTTTTTAATTGAACAGTTTTTTGTTGTATTAAAAATTTAATAGTATTTTCATGTGTTATGTAAGGAGGTCGGTGTTTTCTCTAAGGAACTCTTACAGTTGTGAAGTTAACGGACAACTTGAGTGTTAAACTGTAATTTTCATCGTACGCCAACAAATAATAAAGTGCTATGTGTTGTCATCACTGTATGTTCTCATACAATAATGAAATCAGTTCTCTGCAGTTAACCCATCGCACCTGAGATGCTCAGAGACACCATGACTTGTGGGCATGGGGGGGGGGATCGAATCTGGGACTTTGGGGTCCCAGGTCGGCTGCCCTACCTCTACCCCATCTCTGCCCCAATCTGTCAGTAATAAATTCTTCCCAACAATAAAGCCATTTTATTTTAATATAATCGATTGAAATGTAAAAATAAACCGGACTGTCTGGACAGGTTGTAATTGGTTTAGTATCCTAAATGAACCATATTGAAATCAATTAAAGAGATTGGATTCGTACAGTTTTACTCTTTGGAGCAGCTTGAGGTGACTTCTGTAAAATATATAAACTAAACAATGTTGAGCTTTAAAACCTTGAAACTTGTAAAGATGACGCAACTACGACCACGCCAGATTTGAGCTCAGTCTGTAAAATTGTTGGACTTTCAGCCATGTTTTTTATCGCAAGGCTCAATTCACTGTGGCGGCCATCTTGAATGAGGCAGATTCCAAACGTTGATCAGTTGTAGACGTTCATCCAATGAATACTTTGAGAGTATTGGAACGTAGATGGACCAGTAAATCCACAGCTTTGCCTTTCGACTCTACTCTTTCTTCACCACTACTGACTGAAACAACGCCCTCATTACTGAGAACCGGGTCCCGATCCATCGAGCCATCTTCCGCTCCACCCCACCATCATCAAGTCACCTAAATACTGAAACTCCTCCACTGGTGGCACTCAGGTGTAGGAGTAGGCCCAATTCAAGATGGTGCCCACAACTACTTGAACTTACCCAACACATTAACAGCTATGTCAGTTCTAAAGATATTAAGCTATAGTTTGGTGTGGTAGTAGCCGAAGTCATCCTGAACACATGCATTAAGTGGTAACATCCGTCCATCATCTTTACCCACTTCTTCCTTTTTTGGATTGCATGGGCCACTAGTGCCCGTATCCAGCTATCATAGTGTGAGAGGTGGGGTGGACAGGTCTCCGGTCCATCACAGGACACCTTGGACAGGTCTCCAGTCCATCACAGGACACCTTGGACAGGTCTCCAGTCCATCACAGGGACACAAAGAAACAAACGAGACAAACAACCATTCACTCCCTTTATTTAGAGTTACAATCAGTCTAACATGCATGTTTTTGATCTGTGGGAGGAAACTGGAGTACCCGGAGAAAACCCACACAGCACGGAGAGAACATGCAAACTCCACCCAGAAAGGCTCCCGGTCAGGATTTGATCCGGCGACCTTGTCGAGCAGCAAAGCTCTACCAACTGAGCCACCGTGCCCCCCTTTAGCGGTAACAGATTGCACAATGTCTGTGTGAGACCTTGTGTTGTAAGGTAGCGGGTGATATGGATTCCTTCAAAAAACAATATTTCGTTGAGCTCTGACTTTCTCTCCACAGCCAGCGTTGAGTCCGTCCAGCGTTTCTCGGTCCAGTTGTGTCTTGGCCAAGCCAGTGAGCTCATTTCCTCCTGCGGCTCTGCCTCGGCAGACTGTCTGACCCCTGCTCGATGCCAGCGGGTCCCGGCTGACCTTTAAGACAAGGTCACGCTCCCAAATCAACGGCCAACTTTTCCCCAACTCGCCCGGCTGGACTTTTATCAGAGCGCAGAGGGGGCACCGTCCACTGTGGCAGAATCTCATTTCTGAGCAGTGCAGGGGGGACCTCCTCACTAAAATCCACAAAACACTGTGATGAATCAATTAATCGTAATTAGGGGGGGAGTTCTCCACAGGCAGGAGGAAAAGTGACAGGCATCTCCGCAGATTTTAGAGGCTGCCATCTTCCCCAGGGGAGGCTGACAGAGTGTCAAGGGTTTCGGATCGTCCAATCGAGCCCGCTTTTGTTACGGCATGCATTTCTGAACAACTCGCACCCCCAGCACCTCCGCTCGTCTCCTCTCCCTTTTCTGACGGACCCTGGCAGCACATGTTAGGTCCTGCTGGACACGCTGGGAATGGCACCGGTCAGTTATGGCAAAATGAAAACAACTGTGAGTGTCAAGAGTAATGAAAGGCGATGGCTGGCTGGGGGGCCTCCATCCCCTGCTCTGATTACACGCTAGACCAAGTGGGCTGAAGAAGAATGGGTTCCCACTTTGATCCCTTCATGGGGCCCAGTTACCGCCCCCCTCCCTCGTACCTCGCGGCCTCCCCTCAGTATGGAGCCACTTTCTCAAGTCTCCTGAAAAACAACCTCAAACAAAACTATCATTGTCCTCCGGAGGCTGTTTGGCTAATTTACCGCTGCAGCTTTGAGAGAGATGCATGAAGGGGACTCAAAGCGACAATACGCTTCATTAGCTTTCAGAAGTCACTCCTCACATGCGCTCCGAGACATAAAACTGCAACTCATCAGCCAAAGACCTGACAGGGACTAAATCCTCGCGTTTAGTGCCGACTCTCATGCTGAATTACATCAACAAGCTTCTTTACAGAAATCAAAAATGTTTTGTTTTTGTGTCTTTCTAGATGCCAAGGAGTTATCCATCACCACCATCGAGGTATTCTGTTCTTACACAAACACAAAGATGGTGGTAAAAACACAGTAAAGATCCACAGGAGGGGGTTCTTTTCAAAGTCTGGCTGCTTCTGTTTGGAACAACCGGCTCATTGTGACCAGTTTGTTCAGTAGAGTTGGATTTTACTGAAAGTCAATATCACAACTATACAGTTTATTATCAATATTAAGTTCAACATGTTAAATATTTATTATTTTCCTTGTTAGTTTTTCTTTCGTTGTGAAGTTGACATCTAAAAATGAATCACAATTAAACTAACTTCCACAAAAATGAATTGAAAATGACAAAAGAACATTTGAGGAAACTTCACTCTCCTGAACATGCCAAGTATTTTTTGTTTGTTTTTAG